GTCAGTTCTCTTCAGCTCCAATGTTGCTACCTCAAATGTTGCTATTAAACTGAGCAGGGATTACCTCAAATGTTTCATTTTGACATTGAGGACTTAATAGATGTGATCACATAGAGTTTTCATTAATTTAGAAGATGTGAAATATCCATTTCTGAAGCATGTAAAAGCTATTAGAACATCACTTTGTTCTGTCATTGAGGAATGAGTCATACTCGTCATGGAAATGGTTACATGTACATACATACATTATTGCCCTTTTTTTAAAGGAAGCTAATTGCAAAGGAGAATATATAATCTGGCAAAGGTAAGTATGCGCTAATGCCCATGGCCTTTTATGGTAACTACTTTATAGTCTTCAGACCAAATCAACTTACTGCTGAAGTGTTTAGGAGTCATTAGCGACAATCCATTCTGGCAAGAAAGAGACTAAGCTAGCTAAAGGGACCTTAATGTGATTTTACTAAGGACTCAAAATTACTAGAATGGCTATATTCTAATTATACCATCTCCAATTTCAAGTGCCTTTCAAGAGTATATGGTACACTCTACAGTTTTAGCTACTTGCTCCATGACCATGGGTTGGATTAATGTTTCCGTAGAAGGTAAAATTGCTGACTTGCATGTATACGGTCCTTATTTTTGTTGCTAGGTCTCCATCTTTGGATGAGATATCGATCCAACACATGCTATATTTTTGTTTATCTAAGTGAATTTATTTACAACCTTTGTAATGTAATGTGACTTTAGAACAGCTAGTGTCATGAAATAGTTAACTACTTGTGTGGATATTTAGACAAAGATGCATTATACAGATAACTGAATTTGTGTTATCTGTTGAATTTTATTTAATTTTATGAATCTTATGTAGTTTTGTAATTTTCATTACAGTTAATGGAGTCTAATTCTACCCATAATTTTATAGCGGATAATGTAGAAGCAGATTCATCTAATGAAGACTTAGAAGACATGTCAGAACACAAAAGAGACACTTAATTACGCAAATAGCAGCTGTCAAATACTACTACCAATACACAGACCATGAAGAGTGTATATGCACGTACAAACACTAAGGGAGTATCAATACATTTACAAAACTGTCTGGATAGTGATCCCTTTACCATGATTTTAGCCAAGATCAAGCACTTAGTTTACTTTCTTCCCCTTAGAATAGCTGGGGCAGACCGTCGATCGAAAACTGAAGGGCTGCCATAAAAGGCAGAGGCAAAAGACTTGTTTTTGTTAGCAGACCAAGAGGTTGATTCACTTTGATTACTGTTCACTGAACTTCTACCTTCTATAATTGTAATAGATCAAAAGATGAAAGGAACTGAATAAGAAATAAATGACTTGACAAGATTGATAAGCAAAAGGTAAAGAAAAGTTCAACTACAAAAAAATTTAAAAAGGGTTAGTTGTGCTTCAATTCCTTAAAGTCTGATATGCTGAAATTTAAATTTGCCCAAGAAAACTAACCCAAAGTTTAACCATTTTTAACTTTAATATCTCCTGTTAAATTAGTGTTTAGAATTTTGTGTTGTCAGTGAGTATCATGCTCATCAGTTAAATCTTTCTCAATAGTTGTGTTAGCACTTAGTGCGATCTCCCTTTCTTTTTACCAAATTCATCGTTCTCATGCTGTGCTCTTCAGTTCTTCGTATGTGATGTTCATGCTCATTAGTTAAATCTTTCTCAATAGTTGACAGGTGCGTGTGAGAGTAAATGTTAGTGTACTACACATGTAACATGTATTTGTTTTCTTCTGCGGATAGAGATATGAATACATATATTTTCCTGATATTGAAATTCTGAATGGAGTGGTATGAATTAATAGTTGTATCTATTAAAATATGGGTGTAAAGTTGAACTTAGGAGGGCAATTTTCTGTCACAAATCCTGAATCTTTTCTTACAAGATGCATAGGCACATGATGGTTGGACTTAGGACTAGGGAGAATCCCGTCTCACTACAAAGTCTTGATTCCCAAATCGATATGATTAGTTGAGCTTTCTCATAGTAATCTTCCTTATGAATGTTAACAACAAATAGTAGCAGGATGAAACACTCAATTACAAAAATAATGATCAAAGGTGTACATCACAAATGATGGCATTTTGTTTTAATATGTTTTAATATGTTTCCTTGGACAGGAGTGATAGCTTTTGTTTTTCAAGGTCAGATCGGCATTTTGGTATCTGTCCGCTGATCGTGTTTGCTATTTCAGGTCTATGTTATGCTTGTGAGTTTTAGATGCCACTTTCGTTCACCCACCTCCTGAATGCTACAATTTGGGAAAACCTTGTATTTTAGGAATGTCCGAGAGATCTCGCTGATATGCGGCGAAGCCGATAGCATTGTTTTACGAATCAAGAGTACGTGTCGGCAACGAACAAAGTCTGTGAAAGGATTGGAGTCACTGAAACCTGCACAGAGGAATGCACAGAGGAAGGACTGCATAACCAAGTTCTTCGAAAAGGCTGTAAAAAACTCAGTCTTGATGTTGTTGGTTTTGTTGCCTTCTGAAAGCATTGTTTTATTTGCTGCTGCTTTGTTGGAACTTGTAACTCAAGTTTGCATTGTTTTATTTTTTCATGAGAAGCAGTATTGTAGTTCTGCACCTTATAGTCTCTGCCTTTTTATTTAGCTACTCCCGAATCTTCCCTTTTGGTGATCTTATTTTCCTGTATCAGAATTTCCTCACCGCTTCCAGGGTTTCTCTGCAACAATGTAAAAACTTTAGATTCATCATATAGTTTGTGTTCTTTCTTTTTTAACTTGTAAAAAGTTTTGAATTATAGTGAATTAATGCTCTTTTTACAGTATGGTTTATGCCTCTGCAATTATGTATTAAATGTTGCATGGATGAATTTTTTCATATGAACCTTTTTTCAGTAATATCAATTTAAATCGGTCATTCGGATTTACAGATTTGATTATTCAAGTAAATGGAAAAAAACCATAAGTTATTAAACGGGTCATTTGGGTTATATGGGTCGGGTCGGGTAACCCGTTTAATAAATGGGTCGGGTCACATTGACCCATTTATTAAACGGGTCGGGTCGGGTCATACTTATACGGGTCGGGTCAAATTTTATATGGGTCGGGTCGGGTCGGGTCGACCCATTTGCCACCCCTACTTTGAACTGATTTGGACTGGTCTGGTTTGGTTCAACCTGGTTCGGTCTGGTTCAAGGCTGGTTTACCTATAAAAGAGCTATTTTTCTCCTCCTCTAGGGCCGGCCACCATCTCCCCCAATTTTTTGGATTTCTCTTCCCTCGTGCATCCTTTCTCCTTCAAACCTTCATATTTGTCTTAGATCTACCCTTCCTCTTGATCTTAGACTGAAAAATCCCTCAAAATTTCCATATTTAAAGTTTCTCTCAGGCCCCTCGAGCACGTGGTTCGAGCCTCTTTCAAGATCTAATTTTTTGTCGGATCCTCGAGCTTTTCCTCAGGTAAATCCTCCATAATTTTGGCATGTTTTATGTTTAATTTAGTACATGAATTTGTGGGATTGCATATGAGGGTTAGGGTTTGTGATTTGACGCCTCGAGCTCATCTTTCAGGGGATAAAATTTGGAGATCTGAGGGATTTAATTATAATAAAGAGGGGATAAAATTTTAGGGTTAGATTTTGTCACCCTTAACTAAAAATTTTTCTGTATTTGACTCCCTGATTTACTTTGCAGATCATCATGTCGCATGTCCCGAGAGGTCGCTCCCCTACTGCGTCGGCTGATGGCGTGCTTCCCTCGTATGCTGGTGAGCTCTTTTTGGCGTATTTGTAGATTTGTAGATTAGTCCTTTATCCCCATTTTGTTCTCCTTGGTGAGACAATCGGGAAGAGCCTTGATTCTCCTTGGTGAGGATCGACGCTTTAAAGATGGGTTTTGCTTGGTCAAAACCATATCTCAAAATAAATAAAGGGGGCGTTTTGATGCTGCATTGTGCCTTATAAGGCAGAGATATGTGGCCAAATCGTCTCACCCTTTATAAGGCAGTGACTCTATCTTACCCATTTGTAAGATGAGTTCAACTTCTTTTTATAACTGAAACTAACAAACACTTAATTGCTTGTTTTTAGTGGAATATCCCTCTAGAGCATTCTCATCTCATGTAGTGGATGGACGTCGTGACGAGTATTATTCCACCTCCGATGATTTTTCACCTATTCCGCCTACTCTTCAGTTTGTTCCAGGCACGTCGACAGAGGTTGCCCAAGTGGTGAAGGAAGGTGGACATCGAGCTCTTCGACAGTTGATTACGGATGCGCCTTTCGTGAAGGATGCCAGTTCTGTTCAGTCTCTTAGGAAGACTAACTTTTATTTGGCGACTCTGTCAGAGATCCGGATGCAGTGTTTATTGACGCCGAGCAGTGGCTTCATAAAAATGGCGGTGGTTTCCTATATTTGCCGAAGATTCCCCGACACCGCTCGCTGATTGAGCTCAGGCATCAGGCTGTGACACGGGAGATGTCATGGTGCTTGATGGAGGAGCAAGAGAGCGTTCACTGTGGCTATATCACTCGTCAGGCAGCTCCTGGTTCGAGCAGGAGTCATATCGTTGGATTACATCCTGGAGTATTAGGGCTGGATGCGCCGCCACGTAACGAATTTCTTGCTTCTGCTTCTACTTTGAAGAATCGTCTTGTCGACTTAGGACGGGAGTTGACTACGGCGCGCCACAGATTCTATGGCTGGGTCCATTCTTTAGACAAGTTTTGGTGGGCTCGTATGACGAAGTATGTCTTAAGCCGATGGAGCGAGGAGTTACACGCTTGTGGTCTATATGCAGCCATTCGTTCCATCATGTATGGCCTACCTGTCAGTGCGAAGCATTTCTTTGCTTTGTGCGAGCTCTATAACCCAGATTCGAACACTTTTCTAACCCGACAAGGGGAGTTGGGCTTGGCTCTCCATGAGATGCACAGGATTTCTGGTTTGCCCATGGGTTAGATGCTATATCAAGAATACTTTCCCTCCAACCATGAATTGAGTTAGCTGAAGGATCGCATGCCCGACCGCTACGAGACTTTATGGGACCTCACATGTCACTATCATATCGCTTTGGCGCAGTCTGAGCCTTTAGCGAAGAGGACTAAGTCACATGTGAGTCTGAAGCAGTTTGCGTGTTATTTGTTCAGGAATCTAGAGAGCAATTCTAGTGAGGCTATTTGTGAACTGGAAACACTTACTCCTTCAGAAGTTAATGGTCTGTTGAAGAAGATCGACGCTCACTCTTATACCATTAGCAGTCCCAAGAATGGCTTTCCTATAGGGACCAAGTTTAAATCGTTCTTATGGCATGCGACCGCATCGATTCAGCCAATGACCCTTCTTGCCGGTTACCTCACTATCTGGTTAAAGAAATGCGTGGTCCCGTATCAGTCCGGTGACATTATGCCATTGGAAGTGCTCTACCTAGTGGTTCAGCTTGCCTATAAGAAGGAACTTTTGCTTCTTCCGGTGATGGTAGCTAACATTCATCGAGGGCTTCGCCAGATTTCTAGTACCTTCACACAGAAAGAAGATGCACCGTCGGCTAAGATTCCTATTTCTAAGGTGGAGCTCCCATACACTTATTTGATGGCTTGGTTTGTCCTTCATCGTCCTGATATGATGTCGATACCTAGCATCGTAGACCGCTCTGTTCCTCTGCTACAGTTGTTTGAGAATGGTAGGTGGGAGGGGCGAGGATTCCCTGACATCAGAAAGCAGCTACATGTCCATAAATGTTGGGCCTTTTCCACTTGCTTCCCGCAGTTCTTCAGCCGATATGGCGAGTGTTTGATTGATGAGGAGAAGCCAAGGGAGTATCGAACTCATTTAGATATCGGCTGCTTTAATTGGCTAGTGAACATTAGGCCGGGTTATCTGACCTTCGTGTTTCATAGAGCCATACCTACCCTACCGATTTGCTCGCCAGTTTGGCTATGATCAGCTTTATGTCGGGAATCCACGTCAGCAGCTTCAGACTCATGGCGGTTTGGTGGACGGTCTTCGGGCATGGCTGTGGACCGTGACGGGCTGTACTGGTGCTAAGTTCAGTCTCCCGAGTGCTGAGCGGCAGTTGAATATCACCTTCTTAAGCTGCAGGTGGTTGTTAGCAGCTAATAAAACTGTCCCCGTGAAGCCGATTGCAGAGTTAGTGGCCGAGGAAGCTTCTCAGGCTAATTCTCGTGTGATTCGGGAAAATGCTCCGTCACAGAGGACGCGGAGCAAGACTCATCAGATTGATGAAGAGGGAAAGAAGATCTTCCATTCTACTGATGAGGCTTCAGGCGGAGATCTTGAAGATGATGAGGATAGTTTCGAGCGAGGTTAGCTACCTATTCTTTCCCTCTGTCTTCCAGAATTATTAATCTTGACAGTTGTTTGATGTTTCAGGGACCGCAGCTGACAAGGATGAAGAATTCCGTCCTTTTTCCCAGGTGAAAGCTTCGATTTTGTCCCCGCTGCTAGGCGGAAGAGATTATCCCACAAGCCGCATGCAGATTCGCGAGAATCTGAGATGGATTTGTCTAGTGATGATCCCGATAGCGACGGAGGTAACATCTACCCCATAGATCATCCTCTGGATCACTCAGAACTTCGACTCATGCTTTTCCATTTCTTATGTAGGAGAGCGTGAGGATAGCGAGATGAGTCCTGATCCTACTCCTCATGATTGTGCATTTTCTGGTAAGCCTGACTCACCATACCAGGTAGAAAAACCTGCAGAAGCTGCCGATGTTAGGGAGACCATTAATGTAGGACCCGATTCAGCGAATCCAGGTACATCTACCATTGACGATGTACTCCTTAGATGGCACACAAAGGAGTCGAACGATTCAGAATTCGTGCATTCCTTAATTGTCTCTGTGCTTCTTGCTCTTTTAGATAAACTGCAGGAGACAAACGTGGATCTTGGGAATAGAGAGGCTAACACACCCATAAGAGGTAACTCATTTCCATTGGTCGTAGTCTCTTTATTCTTCTTTTGCACTTATATTCTCTCGTGTCAGATTTCTCGATTGATGATTTTGACGAGGAAGGTTTGCTTGTGGACACTCATATGCTCCACTTCATGTATGGCTCTCCTCGGATTGATGACCATATGCCTGAAGATATGTTTCCAGAGTCTACACTCCCTAAGAATCCCGAGGATGGTCCTTCTAAAGGTATGTGCCTCTTCTTAAGTTAATTATAGGTCTAGCCAATTTTTTGACTAGTGTAGCTATATGTGGTGCATCTGAGAATTCTGTTTTGTGTTTGACAGGAGCTTCTGTCGAGACTGATCCTGTCGAACCGGCTGCGAGACCAACTACACCAGCTGATACATCCACAGTCGTTAAACCTCCACTACCCCCAGTGACCTAAGGGGAAGGAGGTATAAATTAAGCAACTGAGAAATATCATTTACTTCCTCATTAAGGCTTTTGACGGATTTCTCCTTTTTGTGTAGGGCTTTCTTCTCGGCTTCATGTCCTTGTGAAGGAGTTGTTATCAGACAATGACCCTAAGAAGATCGTCATCTGCATAGAAGTCCGCTCCTTCTTCTCCTTTGGGAATGCTATGATTGGCAAACTCTTCCACGTCGGACTTGTCCTTCACCAGTTTAAACCTTTCATTGATTCTAGAATAAATTCAATAAGGGATGCAGGATACCCGGATCTGGCAAAGGCTATAGTTGATGACCTTGATTGTCTAGAGCATGAGCTTCAGATGTTTCGTGAGCTCCGGGATGCAGGTGATTCTTCATTCATTGCTGCCCATTTGGATGATCGCTTACAGA